TGCATAAGTATAAATGGTATAACACAATAACATAGTTGCACTTTATTAAAAATTTGAACTTAACTGGATCATACTAAAAGTATGTACTATATCCATTTATAAACAAAACCGAATATGCATTGTGAAATATGAATAATTAAAAGAGTTGCAATATTAAACCAGACTATATTCTATACTAAAATTATGTACTATACCGTAAAAACCTCGGATTAAGGCCTCCCTCCGTAGTTTTAAAAAATTAGCCTCGAAAAGAAGTCCATGATAGCATAGGCTTCTTTTCAATAGAGTACAGTACATACACTACATGAATTTCAAAAAACAAAATAAAATAAAAACAAGCTAGGTTTAGACAGTCATTTAGGCGATTTAAAGCCAGTTAAATACATTCCATGATTCAGATTGATGTACAATGGCCTTATTTATTATTTTATAGTACAAATTCACAAAATGTACAGCATTCATATTGACAAGAAGCTCCCTCTTTACTGTGCTGTAAGGAAACAAAAATAAAAAAAATTATTACTACAATATCAACACTTGTATACATCAACAACATACTTCCGAAATACTATTTTCTAGAAAATGTATTTAATTTATTAATCACAGAATCCAAGTCCCTATGCCTAGGCTCAGGTTTACAATAACTACATTTGCTCGCCATATTTTATCATCATGGAATTTCAATAAGGTCCAAGAGGCTACAGTTCATTTTATCAGTTGAACCTCCATAATGTGAAAGGAAATTGTTAGATATGGGTGCTCCATCATGCTTAGTCCAATGGATAATCGATTACTGCACGTCGACAGAGGATTAAGTATCGTGGTAAATATTCTGAGTGGATATCCTTTAACTGGAGGTGTCCCTCAGGGAACCCGTCTTGCTGTCATTATTTTTTCTGGTTTTAATAAATGACTCTTTACAGGATACTGAGCAATTGGGGATCGATGCCTGGAAGTATGTAGACGACCAAACCCTTTGTGAAACAACTAAAATTGGCCAACCATCCAACACCCAGGCGGCTCTAGATGCTCTACACCACTGGACATCGGTGAATCAACTTAAATTAAATCCGACTAAGTGTCAGGTTTTTGCGAGTTTATTTTGGTCGTCAACATCTTCCAGACATCGATCTCCATATCTCTGGTCAATCCTTGCCTGTACTTCAGACAGTTAAGCTCCTGGGGGTTCTGCTTGATGATGATTTGAAGTGGAACTCAAATACCCTAGCTTTATGTAAGGAAGCAAACAAAAAAATGTACTTAATGTGGTCCTTAACACGTGCTGGCCTCTCCAGAGAAGAATTAGTATTCATATATAAATGTTACATTAGACTGGTGCTAGAATATGCTGCCCCCCCCCCCTCTGGCACCCAGGGCTTACTTGTGCTCAGTCAACACAAATTGAACGCATACAAGAACGGGTCAGTAGGTGCATTCTTTTTAAAGCATTTAATAATTATACGGAAGCTCTTCACATATTGGGACTGGAGAGACTGACTGATCGCTGAACCACACTATGTATCAATTTTGCAAAGAAGGCTGTTAATTCTGAGAGGTTCAGTCACTGGTTTAGGTTAAATAATAAATCCCATGGCATGTGCCTCCCTAATACAAAACGATATAAGGATTATAATGTTAAAACCGTAAGGTTTCGTAACAGCCCTTTGCCTTACATGACGACTTTTCTAAATAACATCTAGTGTTCTTTCGGCGGTCAGCCAGCCTCTTTATTTTTCTTTATTTTTCTTGTTGACACTAAATGGTGATATTTAATTTATAATAGTTTTTTTTCGTTAAATTTTATTGGCATTTTTTTTTGTTCTGCCTGTGTACAGTAATGTTATTTTAACCCAGTAGCCTCCAATTCAATCTCTATTGCCAAAGGTTACTGTTGTCGAATGTTCTTTGTTAATGAATGAATAATTTTATAATGAATAATGTTGTATATAGAATTGTAATTTTTAAATGATTTTGTAATGAGTAATTTTTATAATGAATAATTTTATATATATAGATTTGTACATTTGATTGTAATTCTTTTTAAGTAATTTTGTAATGAATTTATTTTGTTGTATGTCTGATTGAATAAATATATACCTGAAATAATAATAATAATAAATATAACAAACGAAAGTATAATACAAATTCGAAGAAATGAGACACACATAATCATGTTTCGATTTGATATTTCATCTTAGAATGATGATAAAACCAGCACCTGATAAAACCCAAAAAGATCCTTCTGTGATATCAACAATAATGTCCAAAAGTTCAAAGTTCAGATTTCAAAGTAATTTTATTGTCAATAGTGCAAGTAAAATACAGGGAAATGGCGAACAGACGTCGACAATCGTATTGTGTATAAAATCATAATAAACCGTTGAGGGCGCTAATTTCCTATAATAATACATAGCAATCATGGCGGCTTCTCAATGTTTTTGTTGTGATACCCATGATTCTTTCTGTATTTGTAATTTCAAACGGAACTTAAACTTTAAAAAATCACCAGTAGATATTCCAACATTTACTCCGCTCACTATGAGCGGTTGGATATCCAAAGGAGTAAAAGAGACGGATGGGAAATCGTGGACTTTCTTTAAGGAGAAATACGTACACGGTGGGGTGATTGCCGACATGCCCATGGCGACGGATGAAAAATAAAGCTTTAACAAAGTTGTGTAAAAGTAAAATAGACTTAACCAAAATCAACTACAGTATTAATTATTGTTAGATCAGCCCAAGCTGCTACGTCTAGCTAGCCTACAGTAGGTTACAACCAGTAGGCTACAACCAGTAGGCTACAACAGGCTACAACCAGTAGGCTACAACCAGTAGGCCAACACTAACAGTACAGTAGGGGCCTACAGTATTCAAGCTAGAAAATTACACTTTGTTAATACTACTGTAAAATGTAACTGTAAACCTATTATAATACCATAATAATGGACTATACTTGGGTCCAAAAAATTAAACGAACACTAATTATCCAGTTACCAACGAAGCAATGGGTATGTACAGACACAAATGTGCCTGGGATCATTTTGCGTGGACCTTCTAGGTAGGCCTGGCCTAGCACTTGGTTGGCTGGTAGGTGACACAAATGCGCCAATTTACGGTTTTAATTAAATACAAATTTAACTAAAATGTGTTCAAATCTGCCTATACAATATAAAATGTTACAGGGCATTGTAAAAAATGCCATACTACTGTTTTAAATGTGTTTAAAACGTTCGTTTATTTACCCATTTCAACACACCTCATACACAATAACATAGCGAGTTTCGATTTGTTTATATTCCATACCCAACTCGCCAAATTTCAGTGAAGTCATCTCGGTTCGCCATTTCCCTCTATTGAAATATGGTTTCCTCAATTACAACAACAGTAACAGTAAGATTCTAAGAAATTTCAGTTTAAATATCGTAATGTCAATTTTCTTAACTAGGTACAAATACATACAGAAAATAATTGAGAAAAAAAATTGCAGGTAAAATAAAGTATCATCAGCTCAGTATAATTCTTAATTTAGTATACAAAATGTAGTACAAAAATAGTTTATAAAATTCCAGTGTGATTGAGACATTCAAGAAAATGACAATAAAAATTAATTACAATTAAAATTATAGCAGTTAAAATATCAAAAATTCAATTAAAAAATAAATTAAAAAATTACTCAATTACAAAAAATTATTGCAGCTATAAAATATCAAAAGTTCAATTTAAACATTATTTTAGTTTACCAAAAATATAATTCCAGAGAAGACATCAAACAATAAAAAGGAAAATTTAAATTTTTTTATTATTTTTTTTTATCCTTACCCTAATCATCAGTTCAATAAATATCTTAAGTAAGCAAAGAATAAACTAATGTTTATTTCCTCCTGAAATCAGCGTTAAATAAAAATATTGAGTTAGGAACAAAGGAGAATCTACATCTATTTGATTTTGTACCAACTTGCCTGAGCCTACCTGATTTGTTAAAATGGAATCTATGATTAAGGGGGTGAGTCAGTACTTTGACAATGCTAAACAGTTTGTTTAGGGTTTCTTTCTCGTACACCTCTTCAACATTGACAAAGTCGTTTTCAATGCCCATAATATTGCTAGCCCTTTTTATAACATAATTAATCTTATCTTTGTTACCCTTAGTTAAGTTGGCATGCCATACTATGTGGTTGCTCAAAAGTACACTCTGAATTACACTGTGAAAGAATAACTGCATGGTGTCCAGGCAGTTATTTAACTGTTGAAGCTTCCTAGGAAGAACAACCTTTGGTTTGTTTTTTTTTTTTTTTTTGTAACATAAGTAACTTGATTATTTCAATTTAACTTGTTATCAAGATAGACACCTAAATATTTGTGCGAGTCCACAATTTTAATGTTACATTCCCCAACCGTAACATGGAGTTTCTCGTTAGGATTCTTCCTGAAGTCCAAAATCAACTCTTTGGTTTTACTTGCATTTAGTTTAAGGTTATTATCATTACACGACCTTTCAAAACTAATGATCATATTACGGTAATTATTTTCATTATTATTGCTAATTAAGCCAGTCACAGCAGTATCATCGGCATATTATTTAGTAATAATGCAGTTTGCAAACATGCTTCTAAATTTATTAGTATATAGTGAAAATAACAAGGGTGACAACACACAGCCTTGAGGAGCCCCCACGTTAGTGCTCAGTGTACCGGACTTGGACGTCCCAACCCTAACGGACTGAGTTTCATCAGTCAGGAAACTGCTAAACCAAAGAATCAGATGAGGGTTTGGATAACATGATGTGCGGTAAAATTGTATTTCATGCTGAAGAGAAATCGAAAAATGTGGTACGAGCATATGAGTTGGGGGTGATCCAGATGTGTGTGTATAAAGTCTAGAGCGAATAATAGAGCATCATTAACTCCCCCTTTTCTTTTGATTGGCAAATTGATATGGGTCCAATTTGTCACCACACTGGCTGATTAGCTTAGACTTAACTAAGGATTCCATACATTTCAAGGGCATGGCTGTAATAGCTATGGGCCGGTAGCCGTTAAGGTCAACTGGTTTTGATTTGTTGGGGATGGGCGTAACCACAGAATGTTTCTAAAGATCTGGGACAAAATGCAATTCTAATGACCACTTATATATTTTACAAAAAATGTTTGTAATTTCATTAGCACACAGTTTTAAAAGTTTAGCAGACAGACCGTCTGGTCCGGAAGCCTTTTTAACATTCAGTTTTCTAAAACATTCTTTAACCTGAGCAGCTGCGAAGCTAATGGTTGTAGGACTGTCAGGAAAAATTTGGTCCGGGGAAAAAATCGGTCCGGCGGACTGATTTTGGCCTCATAATTACTTGCCAAATGTAGTCAACATAAGCCAAAATCAGTCCGCTGAAATCTACTTTGCTGTACAGCACACTTGGAAATATTACGTCCGCAATATATTGGCGAAAAGAACAATTCCTAAGCTTTTACAGACACGCATATGCTTATCTAGGCAATCATAATGATGTCCCTAGCTGAAGCCTTAATTTGCATACATCACCCTATATAAGAGTTTAAGATCAGCATGTACTTGTGTTTAGTTGATGGTAGAGCCTTCACGGTTAGTGGACATTGGAATAACAGGAAGGAAACACCTAGCTATGTTCACAGATATACATTATCTGTAGCTGTTGTATTTTTACTAGTGTTACAGTATATTTAATAGCAGAGGCTTCTAGGGTTTTTTGAGTGACAGGACCAACTAGCATACCCCTTTCTAAATCCAATCCTTATATAATTGGTAGAAAGAGAGGGTGGGTGAACGTCATAAATGGGTTTGAAAATTAACATGTAGATTCCGCTACGCTAGCCACAGCCACAGATTTCAAACCACCAATCACAATGAAGTCCATCGCTGAGAACTGAATTTGCATACATCACCCTATATAAGAGTTTAAGATCGGCATGTACTACAGTAGTACAGTATTTGTGCTTAGTTGATAGTAGAGCCTTCGCGGTTAGTGAACATAGGAATAACAGTTAGGAAAGACTAAGCTATGTACACGGATATATATAT